GCTAGCCCCTGCCCTGGGGTGGGGGAGACTGCGCCCCGCGACGACGCGGTGGGGGGTGCCCTGTTTCCTGGCTTCTGACGTCTGCCCCTTCCCCCCTGTCCCCCGCAGCCAAGCAGAGGCCCCGGTGCGGGAGGAGAAGCTGTCAGGTGGGTGATGGTCCGGAGCCCGGTGCCCCCGGGGTTTCTGTCCTGACTGCCTCCCGCGCACCGAGAGCACAGGTGGCCCAGGGCGCCCCGTGCGGACCCAGGGCGTCGGGTTGCTGGGAAGTGGGCTGGGCAGAACCTTCGGGGGAAGTGTTTTCCGAGCGAGATTTGGGGCTGGCGTTTCTCCCCTTTAGTGAGCACCTCGGGCTTGCCGTGCTGGATGGTGGAGGAGTTCGTGGTGGCAGAAGAGTGTACTCCGTGTTCTACTTTCCAGGCTGTGAGTATCTGCTTCTCACATCTGATCAGTCCCTACGTCTTTTTTTATCTTGACCAATGCGAAAGTTCACTTAACAAAAGTTCAATATGGAAATGTCCAAGACTTGGCTTTAATATTGTAGAAAAACAGGTGCTATCTAGAAAAACATGTGCAAGCAAGTTGATTTCTCTGAGGAACACAGCCCTTCTTCACGTCCGTGCCCAGGCTTCTAACATGACACCGATTCCTGTATGACCACCATCCCAATAGGGTCCTGGTGCCCACTGTTGCCATCTCCACACATTCGTCTATCACAGCGGTTCTCAACCTGTGGGGGTCGAACGACCCTTTCACAGGGATCGCCTAAGACCATTGGAAAACACATATATAATTACATATTGTTTTTGTGATTAATCACTATGCTTTAATTATGTTCAATTTGTCACAATGAAATTGGGGGTCACCACACATGAGGAACTGTATTAAAGGGTCGCGGCATTAGGAAGGTGAGAACCACTGGTCTATCACAAGATTTATAAAGGGATCAAATCCTGGCAACATTCCTTGGACATGTCTGCTACCATTTAATTTGTTTTTTCTTTATTTTTAATACTCACCCAAGGTATTGATTTTAGAGAGGAGGGGAGGGAGAGAGAGAGAAACCTTGATGTGACGTGGAACCTGAAATCTGGGTATGTGCCCTGACCCGGAATGGAACCTGCCTTTTTAGTGTGTATGGGATGACGCTCCAACCCAGCCACACCGGCCAGGCAGCCACCATTTCGTTTCAACGATAACTTCTTGTCCATAAATGTTTGTTGTTTTTTTTTAAATATATTTTATTGATTTTTTACAGAGAGGAAGGGAGAGGGATAGAGAGTTACAAACACAGATGAGAGAGAAACATCGATCAGCTGCCTCCTGGGGATGTGCCCGCAACCAAGGTTCATGCCCTTGACTGGAATCGAACCTGGGACTCTTCAGTCCGCAGGCCGACGCTCTATCCACTGAGCCAAACCAGTTAGGGCTCCATAAATGTTTTTACCTCAGAGGGTGAGCTTTGCTCATGGTGTCTACTCAGCGAGCTCAGAGATACTTGCAAATGAAATTGTGGCTTCTCTCACGCTTCCACCACAGCCCCTAAGTCTTCCTGAGTTTGCCTTTCATTGTCTTTTATCTTTTTCCTTGTATATGTCCACATATGAATTTGTCTTCCCCTGTAAATGTGCCCTTTTCTTTCCAAAGTTGCTAATGGCAACTTTCAGTTAATAACCATGTCCTGTTCATTTTGAATCCAGTAGACTCTGGAACCTGTCCACGCTTCTAGACGATCGCTTTTGAAATATTCTAACACATACTCCTAATCGTGCAGCCACCGCCTCCACCATCCCCATTAGAACTCTTCAGGAGTTACCTCCCAGTTCTGAGCCATAGCGCTTGGGCACCTGCCCCTTCTGAATAGCAGCCGGCCTGCTTCTCCTCTGGCCCCTTCCTAACGTGTGCTTTGGTCCTTTTCTCCCGGCAGAAAACCACCCCTGAATGTGGCTCCACAGGGTATGTGGAGAAAATCACATGCAGCTTATCTAAGAGGAATGGGTTCAAAAGGCAAGTGCTGTTTCTCCTCTGGAAACCTAGATCACCTCCTTTGCTCCTATGACCTTAGGTAGATAGTCCCACCTCTTCCTCTTGGTCTGGAGGTAGTATGGCATATTGGAAAGAGGAAGGGATTTGGAACCAAATTACTTCAAGTCCCAATTCTCCTTCTCAGTGCTATATTCATGGCCATATCGTCTCATCAGTAAAATTGTTTAGTACCTGCTCTGCTTATCTCACCAGAAAATGAGTTGAATGATATATTTGAGTGGGGTTTATGCACTGCGAGCACAGTAGACTGACTTTGGTTTTCTCTTTTCCCCTCAGATGTTGTATCTTGGTTAGGCTGAAGTAGAAGGGAGGCTAGAGGGAGAGGCTGTCTGGCCTTCCCTGGGAATAATTGTTTCTTCCTACCCTCAGCTGTCGCTCGGCGCTGATGGAACAACACTTATTCTGGAAATTTGAAGGGACTGTCATCGGTGTAGCCTTGGTCTTCGCTTGCCTTGTCATCATTCGTCAGCGACAACTGGACAGAAGGGCCCTGGAAAAGGTCCGGAAGCAAATCGAATCCATATAGCTACCTTCTACCCTTGTATATGGGTCTTAAAGACCCTGCCTCCGACAGAGAAAATAGAATGGACTTATTTGTGCCCCTAGTATTTTGGGGAGTGGGAGGAACAAACAAACAAAACCCCTTCCATCTTCCTCGTCTAGATCATCAATGAGCAGAATAAAAAGAGTAAAATAGTTTCCTTCTCTATTGTGATTTGGTTTGGGGCAGGAAGATATGAAGCAGAGAGGGAACTGGGGTGGCAACTTTAGGCCCCACTTTATCAAGTACCTATCTTCCCCCCCTTCTACTACTTATTTAAAACTGGAATAAAATTTCAGCAAAAAAACGTTTATTTCATTAGCAAAAACATCTGTTTCCCTCAACCCTACATCCAAAGAAGAAATAAAATCAGATACATAATAAAAGTATTTGTGGTGCCACCTCACACAGACAGACTGGGCCTCGGGGTACAGGCATCTAGGGCATCCTGATGTAATCCTGAGGCCAAAGAACCCCGAGTGGGAATCCCAGGGGAAAGCAGAGCAGAGAGTCCCGGGTTCCTCATGTGATTGAGGGTGGACTAGGAAGTGCTCCAGCTCACATTTCATCTGCATGTAGCACAGTTCTGAGGAGCCCGCGGGGGCCTGTCTTTCCTCCCGTCTTCTCAAGCAGAGTCGTTGTTGAGCCATTTGCACTCTTGATCCCAGGTGGCCCCCCCAATCTGGACTCTACCTCTGGGGTCTCCCAATTTTTTGTTACGTCCTTGTGAATCAGGATATTTCTGGAAATCACTGTGGGGTGAAGAAAAAAGGGCAGTAGTAGAGTGCTCCCTTGGGTGGGAATTCCTAGACAGGACAGGCCCTCCCTCCCACCTCTTGACTACCTGGAGAACACCCCACTTGCTCACCGGGTCAAAAGTCCTTCCCTGCCCTTGCCTCTCACCTCCATGAGGCTGGTAATCCTCAGACCCAGCTTCTGGTGGACCTCGAAAGGGGCTGAAACTGGGCAGGATGATGAGAGCCAGGGAAAAAAGAAGGATCTGGGAGGAAGCAAGAAGACACTTGGGCTGTGGGGACAATAAAGTAAGTGAATAGAGGGCAGCTGGAGCCATCAGGGATGGGAAGATTCGTATGGCTTGGGCGTAGGGGTATGGGATGGAAGTGTGTCAGGTGGTGGAAGTGGGGGGAGATGGGAAGTAGACTAATGGTACCAGAACACAAGTGCTGGTCTGGGCGGCTTTGTTGGAAGTTTGAGTAATGAGCATCTGCAGCTGGCGGAGTTGAGTCACCAGGGACCTGGGAAAGGAGGAAGGATGAGTTAGATCTGGGAACTAGGGTCCAAGAATGGTGCTTCTGTGTGTTGCATACCTCCCCCAACGTGCACACTATGCTTTCACTCACATGTTGTGCCTCTCCAGCTCCTGGATTTTTTTCTGTAGTTGCTGGTTCTGTGCAGAACAGGCAGCCACCCTAAGGATTGTGGAAAGGTAGGACAGGGTTCTTCCATTATGTGCGTCCCTGGCCTTACCTCCCTTGGTCAGGAAGAGGACTCGGGCCTGGCCCACCAGAAGCCAGAAATGTGAGTTCAAACATACTTGCTCTCCAGTCCCTCGATGTATTCTTTCTTCCTCCGCCGACTGTCCTGAGCCGACTGCTTGTTACGGATTTTCCTCCTGACCTTCTTGAGGACCCTCTCCTCTGTCTGGGGCCCCAAGGTGTATCAGTCCTGGGCCCTTAACTTACCCCAATGCCCCAACTCTCCCCCGCGATCCTGGCTGTTCAGAGCCATGGTGGGCCACTGGGTTGGGATACCCTTTTGGGAAGCATGTTACCTTGGTGAGGGGCAGGTGAGAGGGCAGGGAAATCCCTTCCTGCCCCAGCAGATGCTTCTCCTCATCTGTCAGGAACAAGGCTTGACAGGGTAGCTGGTGGGGCACAGAAGATGAGAGTGGGGAGAGGGTCATCCCATTTTCAGCACCCAGGCTGCTCCCCCTGCATGCCTTCTATAGTGTTTCCCATTTGCACTGAGGAATAGCTAACCATGAAATGAAGTGAGGGCAGGGACTGTAATTCAAGGGACCTCCTGAGGCTAAGATGGGAGAGAAGAGGTGGTTTTGTCATATCCTTTGACCGCAGTCTCTGATCCACATCTCCCCAAACAGGAGTATTTGAAGAGAATGGAGTAGCTCACTAAGGTCGGGTTTGCCCAATCGTCCAGCAGGCAAATGATTCACTTTTAGCTATTCCTGTTTGGCTGAGTGTGTTATCCAGTCACCTGTCAATCACAGTGAGCTCCCTGGGGCAGTGGCTCATTCTCCCCTAGGGCCTGATCCCCTCTTTTCAGACTAAAGCTCTGTCCCCTGTCAGACAAAGAACTAAAGAAAAAAGGTATGTGGGGAGGGTAGTGTCTGGTTAATGTAAGTCTATCAACTGAATGACTTGCCTTTCCAATTACCTTTTGAAAAATGTATGCTTTACTTTGTGTCTTAGGAATTTGCGTTGCTTTTGCCCTGATAGCCTTTGGCTTTTAACTGAACCATTCCTTCTGTCTCTGCCTTTTTCTGATGCTCCCTTCTTGTGCCTGTGACTATTTGGTGGAACTATATTAGAAAGGTGTCCCTCCCAATCTCCCTAATCAAAATCTGTGAGAATGAGGCCTAGAAAGTTTTATTTAAAAAACAACCGCCCTAGCTGGTTTGACTCAGTGGATAGAGCATCAGCCTGCTGACTGTAGGGTCCTGGGTTTGATTCCAGTCAAGGGCACATGCCCAGGTTGCAGGCTTGATCCCCAGTAGAGGATGTGCCGGAGGCAACCAATCAATGATTCTCATCATTGATGTTTCTATTTCTCTCTCCCTCTCCCTTCCTCTCTCAAATCAATAAAAATATTTTTAAAATATTAACAAACAAACCCACAAATTCCCCACTGTTTTGATGCACAGTCACATTTAGACGTATCAAACTTTTTAAGGTCCCTCAACCCAAGATTTTAAGATGCTTGGCTTGGCTGTTGGTCCAGCTTCAACCACAGATTTGCAGGGAGTCTAGAACCTGTTCCCTGCCTTTTGCATGCAACAAGTTCTTTCCAGGATAAAGGCAGGTTCCCCTCCTCACCTCCTGGAGGAAGCAGACCAGGTAGCCTTGGGAAGTTATCTAATGTGTTACTCCCCCTGCCACCCCATGCAGTGGGTGCCTGCTAGACAATTGTTCCAGTGGAAACATGAATGCAATTGTTTCTCTTAATCCCTGTGCCCAGTAACCAGTTCAATTTTCCCAGGTGGCCTGTCCCATTTCTGCATCCTGACCCAAGACTTGAGACAATAGCTAAGCAAACAATGAACACAAGGTTTGGCCTTTCTCTTGAGCCCTATCCCTGGATTCTCTCACCCCACCTTTTCCTAACTGAGTCATCATCACCTTACTCCCAAGTGTTTTTGTCTCACTTATCCTTTCCTGCTTTTAAATTGCCCAAGTCTGCCCTATAGCTCAGTTGGTTCGAGCTTTGTCCCTATATGCCAAGGTTGCAGGTTCAATCTCTAGTCAGGGCACATACATACAAAAACCAGCCATGAAAGTATAAATAAGTGGAACAACAAATCGATGTTTCTCTCTCTCAAATCAATAAAAATTAATTAATTGCCCATGTCTCCCTGGCTTTCAGGCCTGATGCCAAAAACAGAGTTCAGCATCAGTTTCCCCCTCCCTTATCCCAATCTGTGTGGGTATATGTGTGTGTATCGGGGGGGATGGATTAGGCCAACCCCAAGACTCACCAGGGTGGCAGGAAGCACTGGGTTTACAGTGCCTGCTCTGGGCAGGATGTGGGCATGAGCATCAAGGGGCACGTTGCTGACCATGCAGGCATCAGGCATCATAAAAGGTGGGCTCCACTGATCTAAGGGAAATACAGGTGGCTGGGAGAAACAAGATGGAAGGTACACCCTGCTGGCAGGAGGGCTGGGCAGTGGCACAGATCAGGGAAACGCCCTTAACTCCAGCGCCAGGACTGGATCTCAAGGGCCATTGTCCCCTTCCCACATAACACCACTGACCTAGCTGAATGGAGATGAAGCCCACCGCTGGCCCAGCTTCCTCCTGCATCTTCTCCAGGGCCTCTGTCTCATAAACAACTTCATAGAGGGCAGGAGAGCTGGGTGCCTGGGGGACAGGGGGACTGTCTCGACGACCAGGGTGCTCAGAGATTCCACTGTCACTGCCAGGAGATGCTTCTGAGCAGTACACTTCATTGGGATCAATGAAAAGCTTCGGAAAATCTTCAGGCTCACTCTCTTGAAGGCCCTACATCAGAAGAGGGCGTGTATGTATACAGGGAAGAATTCTGTTAGTCCTTCCCGACATCAAACCTAGATCCTTCATGCTTCAGTTTCAATCCTTTCTGTCCTTGGACGTGGGGATAATTACAGTTTATGTCTACTCTAGGGGCACTGTCTCAGACTACTTTCCAAGTGTAGGCTGAAGTCTCTTGGGCTTCTTATCAGAGTTGTGTTTCAAACCACCCCGGCTTCCATTCATCATACTCACACAGGCATGGGCCCCACTGGACTCCCAGCCTTGCAGCCCCTGTTCTTGTAGCATAGTCACTGGGACTTCGGGAGGTGGACAGTGGAGTCCCAGCTCCAGGAAGGGTCCTGTTAAGACATCATCTGGGGGCTCCAGCCACACATCCAGCAGGTCAGGGGTTCCGAAATCCATCCTGCAGGGAGGCGTGTTGCAGGACGATGATGGCTGCTCCCCCCATTCCTGCCCCC